TACTGGGATCCTGGGCACGTGCTGCTGCCACTGTATGCCAGCAGCCTTCCCACAAGGATTCGCACTCTGCAGAATGTCTCATACTTTAAATGCACCATCAGCATCAGTACCTGGGGTTCTGCCTCACCCCTGGGATCAACCTGTACCTACTCCCTCCCATTCTCACTTGCAGGGGCTCCTATCCCATCTCCAGACAAATCTGTAGTCCAGAGAGCTTCACTTTGTAAGTTTAGCCAGCTTCTGACTGTGTCTAGTGTAGATGTTCACTCACCAATCTTATCATTTAAATGATAAAAATCTTACCAGTCTGAAATTTATTATTTCATTTTTTAGAAGTGCTATGGCACTGAACCTAACATGAGTGTTCTACAGCTTGAAAAGTTATACTGCTTCAGATATTTTGTCAGACACTGAAGTAAGACCCACTGCCTTCCAAACCTAAGGGAAATTTTCACAGTCTGTCAAGGGAACAGGAAAAAAATGTTGTAGAGTAGCAGCAACTAATCAATTTAAAGAATAATTGTTTTTGTTAACAATTTTGCCATTTCGTTCTTTGGCTCCCTCAAAACATTTGCTTGCTCCAGTGAGTTGTTGCCTTTAAAGTACTCAACACTTCCTGCTCTAATCCTGCTTCAATAGTTTTATGCAAAGAGAGTTAATTAGGAAAGCAAGCAAAAGAGAATTACATCACTGTAACAACACTACTTGGCATTTAGTAGCTTCTTTAGTTTGAAACTCTCAGAAAGATTAATAATTATTATTGAAATAATTCTCACTAACTACTGCAAAATAAAAAGGCTTCTCAAAGTCTGTGCTTTGCTACAGAGCAAAGCTAGGAGTACAGCTGCATGTTCTCAGTTCTGTACTATGTCTACCAGACTGTCCATCCTTGCCTTTCTTTTTCTGAAGTCACAGAGAGACAGGAGCAAGTGGAATTTACAGGTAACCAACAGGAATATTTTTCCCAGATGTCACATCAGGCTGACAGCCATGAGCAAGCATGTAGGCTGCTACCCACTTTCAGAATAAAAAGATACATAAATGTGCTCAGACGTCTCTTCCACCTGGAATACATTAGGTTATGTCACATTGCAATCTTGTATGAGCAGCACTGTCTAAGCATCTCCAAAATGGTGATACCCACCTTAGGAAATACCTTTAGGAAATACTTTCAGGAGACCACTTTGATAATTAAAATACAGTGGTTGCAAAAAGCTAAGTAGGCATTTTCCAGTGCAGACATTTAGGCGAGACCAGAGCCTTGGAATCATGCTCTGCTTTCAAATTTCATGGCCAGGTAAACATTTTCAGTCCAAACTCAGTCCTTTGTGAATCCCTTGTGCACACCCCTTCTATTAGTCAATACTGCTTGTGCAGAAGGGAGGGAAAAAAATCTCAATCCAAAACAAACAACAAGTCTTATTAAAACCTGAAAAGCAGATCTCTGCTCTGGAAAATCTTTTTTCCTCTTCCTTCAAAGCCCCCACCTTTCACTCTTTACATATGGCTAAAAGACAACAGTCGTTTGAAATATGAAAGCTCTCCAGGTACAGAGGTGACAACACAAGGCCAAATGCAATAGGACTAAAAGCTTTTCTTCTTTTGAGATTGCTGCGTAGGAAAAGAACCAAAGATTTGTTGAAAAAGCAAACTGGTAAAAAACACAAAACAAAACCAAAAAAAAGAGTGAGAGAATGCTGATCTCCCCCATAAAAGACCAAAAGGAAAATTAAGACATTAGAAGAGAACTCACACTTAAAACAGAAAACATTGCTATATCAATTTTTACACCATGTATTAGCTAGCCTTTAGCTGATGGTCAGAAGAGTCAAAATCTCCCCTTTGTTCACAGTTTCAGTATTATTGCTCTCCTTCTGTATCCCTCCCTCAGTTTAGTAGCCTAAGGTCAGGTTCCAATTTACCAAACTGCACATTATTAACCCTATGATGTATTTACTTCTTTCTTCTCAGCACAATATTACAACCCACACATTGCAGAGAATATGTACTGTACTACAGTCTGCCTTATGAGCGGCATACTTAGTCAATAAATAAAATAGAGAATATTCATAAAGAACTTACAGCCGTAAAACTGACTATACAACATGTGATTTTATCCTATTCATCTGTACTTCTAAGACTTTGTTAGTTTTCCTCCATTTTGCTGTGTAGCAATATATATCCAGAGTTTTCAGTGTTTCCTCAGGGATGAAACACAAGAATCTACCTTGTCAGTATGGCCCACAAAAAAAGGCTATCAGAATTTAACTTTTTACCCTACCTTTAGTACAAAGACTCTTATTGAGAGTGGAAGTGACAGGTTTCATGCTCTGCAACAGTTCCACAGTAGGAAAAACTGTTGCTTCTCCCTTCTGAAGTATTCCTTACCAAGGGTATCACAACTGCCTTGCCACCCTGTCCAACTCTGGTGTTAAACAAAACAGGTTCTTTCAGGGTCTTCTACCATCTAATCATCCAAATTAAACACACTTTAATGAAAATTAGTAAGAAAAATCTGAAGTCAGTTTTTTGGTTATTGTTGGCTTCATTAGTCTATTCATTTATCTATTAGTCACAGAGCCTGCAAATTGGCAATATCAAAGCTTTTGCTGACTGCTAATTCTCGTAGGTGATGTAAATTGTACACATTAAAATGCCAGCATTATATACAGCACATTTTCCACTCTCCCCAAAATGATTTATCATAGTCATGTTCACACTCATTCAGCCTCCTGTACCATAATTTATTGGGAAACTGTTCTGTAATTGCTGGTACGACTTTGACAAGAATTATATTATGAGAAGGTTTCAATCATTAACCATCTAGAAATATCCAGTGTTATCCTCACATATGACAATAAAAGCTACGTTGGCACTTCATCCAGTCACATCACTTTCCATATTCATTTATATTATCAATTTAGGAAGGGTGCTTTTCCGCTAGCTGCTCTGAAGAGTCCAAGGAGGCAGGAAGACAGTTTTAAAGCCTTTTCAAAGTAAGATCCAACAGACCCTGAACCAAAATTCCCTACCCCCTAGCTATCACTGTGTTTGAGCAAAAGCCAATGAAAACCAAAACATATCAAAATAATACCACAAGCAAGGAAAGAAATTAAAAATACAGTTGTTACAGTGAATGGTGGGATGAAATGGATGTTTCACTGTGTCTGCATGCAGAGAGGAAGTGTGCATGCTCCTTTTCCTGAGTACAGCACCACTGCAGTCCATGCTGCGTTGCATGCTGCAGCTCCGTTTCTTTCTGCAGAAGAAATTGCTCAGCCATTCATCCTCCTGCTTTAACACTGAAAGAACTAAGGCAAAAAACCAAACGCCTCGGAGTAGCGTTCCAGTCCACATTTACATGCCTAAGTACTCATTAAGCATCATCACGCTTTATGGGATCCCCTGGATGCACCACACCATCAACCTTTATAGCATTATTTTAAAATCATGCTTCACGTTTCTGTGATCAAATATGGACTTAAAGTTAAGCATCCATTTCATTGTGATGACAGGTATACCTTGCTCTGTACTGTTGCTATGGTAACAGATGTGGTAGCCATTAAATTTAGAGGTAAAATGTATTCCCAAGAGGTTTTTGGTTTGCTTTTTTTCATTCCTAGTTGTGTGGTTGTGTCAAACTAATTACAAAGAAAACTCAGAGAATATGCTCTTAGCTGAGACCAGCAGCTCCTACGAGTCTTGCATTTACCTTCTTTGGGCTTAAATGTGGGAGATAAAATACACAGATGCTTTAGACAAATAATATCAAAATTCTTGCTCCAGATGGAACTAAAGAAAAATTAAAAGGTTATATCCTAACCAAGATTTAATTAACTAACTACAGCTATCCAAAGTCCTGTACACTGCAGAAGGGAAAATATTTATCACCTCTGAGAAAATACTTTTTGGACCTACTTAAGCAATGGAAATTATTAAAAAATTCCACACACATTTCCTGCCTGTTATTGAGCATATATGAGAATTCTTCTGATTTAACATTTAAAAAGTACCTTGTGGTGAGACTATTTACATTCAAACCCGTAAATCTTACAGTTTTTATTAAAAACTCTTGGGTTTCAAAATTTTCTTAAGAGATAAGGGAAGAAACTTCCTCAGCAGCAGCTGAGAAAATAACATCAGAGCTGCCATACAAGTACTGGGAAAATATTCCTAAGCCAATGATTTTTATTTGAATTTTTAAAAATTATTTGCCTCTTTCAGTTTTAAACTGTTTCTGTTCTAAACCAATTTTTCTGTATCAACCAGTGCATTTGTAAAATATATGTGTAAGAACTTATCTGAAATCTAGTAAGTAGCTCTGATATTTTCTGAAGTGCTCCCACCAATCATGTGGCCACACTGTACACCCAGCCCTCAAAACAATCCCACAGGAAAGCTCAAGTTGTCACAAGGGGAATTAATGCAGTCTTCATCTCAAAGAGATCCTGGAGAATTGCATCCACACAAACAAGAGTCCCTTAAAAATGGAAGTGTGATGTAACTCATTAGAACTCTATGAGGTAGTACAATCAGTGTTAATTTGTAGTGAAACTATTAAAATGTTAGGTGCTTACAGAAAGGATGAACAATATGGTATTTAAACTGAATTAACACTTTCTAAAACAATAATGTATCTCTGTTGTTGGGTTTACAAAAAGAGATATTCACAGACAGCACAGAACAACTTTAAGCAGCTGTAGGCTCATGCTGCCAAAGAAACCACTTCCCAAAAGACTCCAGGGTATGTTTCCTACTTGTCCATGAGATTATATACTTCCTGTTCCAGTACTGTACATAGTGCCCATGCTGCTTCTAAATCTTTTCCAAGCCACTTTAGGAAATGGAAAAAGTAAATTCAAAACATCAACAATTTTTGCCTATAGTGCTATCATCCAGTGCTATGAGCAAGCAAATCTAGTGCTAACAAGAACAGCCACATTACAGGAATAAATCTGTCATCCCACCAGATGGTACCAACAACTAGAGTATTTCCTTACCTGCCTCCTGTCTCTCTGAGATGATGATGAGGAGGAGGCACTTCTATGTGATGGAGTGGATGTTTTGTGAGCTGGAGATATACTCTTCTCCTCTGAACTCATCTTTGCAGCAAACTTGTATTAATGATCTTGTGCTCTTATCACTCATGGACAAAAATGCAGGGGATAGTCTTCTGCATCCTGCTGTTTCACAGTTTATGGACAGCCACAGACGAAGTCAGTCTCAGCTGAACTCCACCTTAATAAAGAAAAATGAGAGAGAAACAGTGGATGAACAGAACAGAGCTCCAAAGTAGCTCTGCAGCAAAGAAATCTGTTGATTATTCAATCCAACACATCCCAGTCTTTTACTCCCCTTCCCAACAACTACCCAGCACAAATACAAATGCATTGTTCTGCATTCTCACAGAAGATTAAAGAAGATTTAAAAAGACCCTAAGGAAAGACTTAAGTAATTTACAGCAATTCTCAGGCAAAGTTTACAAACCCTTGATAAGGGGGTATTAATCTGCATAATATCATGACATTATCAAGTAATTCCTCAAGACTTCCCTTCCCTATAGCACTGAACACCCCATTATAAACAGTAATCAAAAATCCTGCAGCTAGATCAAGAACTCTGCAAGTATTTTAAAAAGCAGGGGCCTCTCTCAAAGGTGGTGCCCTCACCTGCAGTATGAAAGGCTTCACTGAGGCAGGGAGTGTGTGGCTGGGGGGTCATTTGGCTGCTAGCCAGGGCTCACCCACCCCAGTGCAGGGGGTGTTCCCTTTTTCGTTTACTCAGCAACTGAGTACATCATCTCTTTACAAATAGCAGGAAATTTCTCTCACTACTCCCCATCCAAACCTTTAATTTTCATCCACAAACAGAAAAACAGATATTTAAAGCAGGACAGAGGATATTTATGTCAATAAATACTCAAACACTACCTGTCAAACGCTATCAAAATGCTTCAAGTACACCATGACAGCTCAGGAATGGAGCTACACTTCTCCACATTTAACAGATCACTGTGATCTTGCTTCAGCTGACTGATACAGAGTCTGATCTTCCATTAACCTTGGATAAAATTGTTCCCTGAATGAGATGTTAGCTTCAGGCAGATGACATATCTTCTCCACTGCCCTCCTAATTTTGAAATAGTGCCCTTCCACATTCACTGTGCTGACAGCACACCAAGGGTCAGCACAGCACAGCTAGCTGCAGATGGGTGTGGAGAAAGGTGCTGCCCTGCACCATGTTAAATCACATCAGGACAAACATACATTAACACTCAGACATGACTGCATATTCAAGAAATTATATCATATTGAAGACAAAGCTCTAGCTTCTCCAGACATGACAGATAACCATGGAAGAATATAGTCCTGACCCCAGATACTCACCCAGAGGCAGCTAAATAATTATTTACATAGTGCCACCAGCTTCTGAATACTGCACCCTAACAAAAATGCTCCTGCTGGAGCCAAGATCTGTGATTACTCAAAACCTTTTCTGCTTGCTGTACTAAGGGAGAGTTGAATGACTTCATTTTTATTAGTTAACACTACTTTTGCACTATGAATATCATCCATATCTTATGAATGAGCTTCAATCTCCATCAAGGAGACTCCCATACAATTACAAACCCACATATTACCCACGGAGGCCACACAGCACCCCAGTGACATGAGTGGGAGGACACACGAGTGGGAGTTGGCTGTTCCAACAGCAAAAAGCTGACCACATTCCCTGAACATCTTGGTGAATTCTGTGTTCTTTTCAGGATGATAAGTTCCTGCTAGAAGAAGCCTAAGAAGATTGGTTATGCTGGAGCTGCCAAAGCCAGCTTCAAGACTCAAGGTTGCAGGAAGAAAAAAACAAGCTGCACAGCACATTTGTTTCAGAACTTCAGAGAGAAAACCTAATGAAGATGAACCCAAAGAAAGGCTATTCCTTTTATCCTAGCATACCAGGGGACTGCTGGTCTAGTTTAACAGCATTTTCATATCCTACAAATGCATCAGGGAAATTTTAGTCAAAGAGGTGTACCAACAGGGAGATTTCAAGGTCTATGCAATTTTCATTTAAATCAAAAATGAAATTACAAAAATCAGAACAAAAATATAATCCTAGTTCACAGAGCTGTGCAGAACTCTTGAGTTATTTAATAGGAAATCTGCAGTCACTTTCAGCTATGAGGTCACTGCATTTTTTTAGCGGAGTAGCCTTCGGCAAATAAAAATCAAACCCTTTTTAAAACATCTGATCTTCACTCAGTTGACTCAAGTGGAAAAATTTATATTTAGTAATAGCACAGAAGGACAGTGGCCTGGCACTTCTAGTGTGTTCTGAAAGCTCTTGAAGCAGTAAATGCTGTTGTAAGAAGCAACCACAATGCTAGCGAGCAGTACACAATAAAAACTGTTCTGCAAATAGCTGCCAAGTTTGGGATTCTGTCAAGTATGGACTTTTTCTTTTGTAAGGTATTAAATAAAAGTAGAAAAGTAGTGGCTTACACCTGAGCCAAGCTCCACAATGGTTCTGTTGTGCTCTCCAAGCACTAAGAGCTGAACCTAACCAACTTGTTCAAACCACAATGACTTGTGACCACAACAAAACAAAAACCACCAAAAATATTAAACCACCCCCCCTTCACAAAGAAAAGAAGCAAACATTTCTTTTTGCCCTATTTCACAGCAAAAATAGCTTCAATACCAAACCACTATTACTTATACATAGAAATTTCTGATTAAGAAACAGTGCAATTGAGGGTTAAAAGTAAAAAAAAAGACAACTGGAATATTTCAGAAAACATGACTTGTAAGCACAGCAAAAAAAAATATTATGCAAATTCGCAAGAGTTAGAACAGAGCTCTTTCTTATTGTTCTTGAACACTGAATTTGGATTCTTTCTATATTGCTAAGGGTCTCTCTTCCAATTTTTGCTTAAAATTTGAGCAATAGATCTTTTTTAGAGCATGTTAGAAGGAATAATTCTAGTGGAACTGACATAAAGAGATGCCAGTCTCTCTGTAACTATGATTGAAGCAAACAATTAGAAATCTAATTTTTGACCAACAAATTGAATCTACTAAAATGAAAACGATGCTTTGAAACATTTTTAACAGGGTTTTTCCATCAGTCACTGGCAATTTTGCTGTTGATTTCAATGGCAACAGAAGCAAGTCATATCCCATGGTAGTATGCTTCTAGGGAGTAGCAGAAAATCTAAAAACACATTCAAAAACTACGATGATGGCTTTTGGGTGAGTGGGGATGACCTCCTGGTAATCATGCATTTGTTCTCATACTGTTTCCTGACAAGTATAAGGCAAATTTTATTATCCCTTAACTTCACAGAAAATATATCATCTCCATGGAAGTACTTTAATCAATTTCATTGGAAATCAATCAGAAAAAAAAAAAAAATTACATAAGCAAGGGTAACAGCATTGGCAGTTGGTTATTAATTGCTGCATATTCAAGTAACTTATAGACTGCATTTTGCACACACCAATTAAATCACCCATGAGATGCTCAGAACCACCTGTCAGCTCAGGACCACGAGTGGATTCAGCCCAGAAAATGTGACAGGGCATTGGCCTGATTGAAAGTTGCTTTGCCATGAGTTCCCAAAGCAGGGATCATCCATTGCTTCCAGCACACAAGAAGAGACAGACGGCCCAGAAAGCAAAAAGCAGACACTGCACAGAGATTTGGGCCATTCAGAAGTTTCAGTGGCCCGGCTGGGAGTTTTGCCCTCAACTTCTTTTTGTTGGCATCTCAACTATTTTGAATTTAAGACACGATAATTATCTACTGGTTCTGCAGTACATTGTTTTTTAAAGTTCTTTACTTATTTTTTACGTAAGGAGATATATAGAGAAAAAGTAATATGCCCAAGGTCATGGAGAAAGCAAGTCTCATGAGTAAAACATGCAGTGAGACCTTTTAATTCTGATAAAGGATAAGGAAAAATATGGAAAAATAAGGAACGATAATATTAATTATTAAGGAAAGATAATATGCTTAATTACTTAAGCATAAGGAAAAATACCCTGTGCCACGATTTTAACGTATTCCAGATGGGACAAACACCTATACCTAATTCTATTCATGAAGGAATGCAAAATTACCATACAGGAATGACAAAAATAAATTATTTAATAATTTCTTATTTAATAAATAAAATAAATTATTTAACTAAAGATTCTTTTTTGTAGAGTTTAGAAATCATCAATACTTTCTTAAATATCTGGAATTTAATATCTCATCTATAACTATAAGAGCTATTCCAGCACTTTCTTGCACTTTATCCCTACTATATTTATATTTTAAGCTAGAATTGAAGTCAAGGTATAGTTTTTTCAACATTTTTGTACTGGATCTCAATTGTTACAACTTGTATGGGCCTGGGGGACAAAAAACTACAGACTCCCCATTCTTCATCCTTTTTCTACTTCAACTAAGATTTGAATATTTTTTCCTATACAGTTTTTTTTTTTTATCTCATTTATTTTCAGTTCATTAGTGGTGTGGTTTGAGACTTACCCTCTGGTGTCCTAAATCAAGCACTAAACAGATCTAAAAAAACCTTCATTCCTTTTCTGTCCTCAAAGGGTTACTGTCTTTTTCTGTTTAAATCAACAAAGGAAAATAACACTTTATTTTTCATATTGGAAACCACTAATTTTTACACTAGAGATATTTTGCTCACCCAGAAGTCCTGCTGTCTATCATATGAAACAAAATAATTTCAAATGCTTTAAATTAAATGACCAATCCCCTACCGAGCTGTGCAGTGTGATTATTTTTATAGTAATATTACTAAATAGCTTGAAAGACAAGGAAGCACTGAGACCTACTTAGTGACGTTTGTCTTGGGTTACAATGCCTGATTTACATATTTTAAAAGTATTTCCTGGAATTTTGTATAATGAACTGCTCAGTAATGTTGAATATAAACAAATTAAAGTTAGGAATATTTGGCTATCATGCTTTACAAGCCACCACTGTATGGCAAGGCCTCTGACACCAAACAGGCAGTCTCTGTCCTGTCCCATAATCTAAAAACGTTCCACCAAGCCTGGGCAACTGCATCAGCTGCAGCATGGTCTGTGAAAAAGCTATTAGCAGAAATGATGAAAAAGTACAGATACATAAATTGTATAAACCCAGAGTGCTGAATAAATGCATGTCATATAAAAGATAAATTAAAGTTTTCAATCAGTGACTCAAAATGAAGTCTGGACTCA